ATCTGAAGTTCAGGTAAGAAAGAAAAAGAAAATAATTCCCCATTTCAACAGGGCATTATTTCCATTAATCACGAAATAATCTTTTAACACGTCCATTTAACAAAATATTATTTTCATTAACCAAGAAATAATTTTCTAATGCGCCATTTATTTTAATAGGATATTATTTTTATTAACTAAAAAATAATTTTTTGGCGTGCCCATTTATTTAAAGGGCATTATTTTCATTAACCAAAAAATAATATTTCAGCACACCCATTTATTTTACAAGACATCATTTCCATTCCTTTTATTTCATAATTTATATATTAAAATTATAATCAAAGAAATTTTTTTTTCAAATACTAAATTAAACAATTAATTTATTATAAGATATGTAACACCTTCGTGGTGTTTGTGAGCATGAAATTGTCCTCTATTGCTAACTAGGTCCTGCAACCTCTTTTGTACTAGCATAAAAATCAACATGTCAATTATTATTCATAACCAAAAAATATAAATCTCATTTCATTTTAAGTTAAGAAGAATGAAATTCTCCTTTTTAACCTTTAATCGAAATTAAATTTCTAATTCTCCAGCAATTCATCTGATTTATCTAAAACCACTTTTTTACATTCACAAAAGAATTTTGTTTTTGTAACATCCTTCATCATTCCATTCATTAACATTTATAAGCCTATAAATTCTCATAATTCCTAAACAATTGCATTAAATTCTTCGATCTCCTAAAACCTCTCATTTTGCCGAGACCAATAACAAAAAAGGAGGAGGGGGTTTGTTTCTTCCATTTCTAAATTAAATACTTACCCATTAATAATTTATGCTTCCTAATATAGTTCAATTATAAGTTGCATCATTTCAATAATTAACACTATAAATCCCCAAATTCACATGATCATAGCAATTTAATTTCTTCATCAAAACACAAAATTATAACAAATAATCATTCTAAACATATTCTTTAACTTACTTGGATAAAGATTCAAGAAATGGATGCGAGAAAATTTAAGTTTCCTTCTTCTTCCTTTTTAAATCCTAGCTTTAGATTTTTTTTTTCAAAATAAGTTCTAAATACTAAATCACCTCTCTTAATTTTTTTTTCTAAGTCACTCTAACTACACTTCTTTATATATATATAAATAATTTGCAAGGAAAACAATTAAAAATCACACAAATCCTTTCCCTCTCTTATGGCTTCTAGCCATCGGCCAGGCAAAGAAAATAAATGGATATTTATATAGTCTCATCCTTTAAATTTGCACAGTAACTTCTTTTATTTAACATTTTTCAAATTTGTCCCCATCCTTTTTTTTATCAATAAATTAATGCCTTATAAATTTGTTTTGTTTAATTTTACCCCTCTAAATGCTAGCTTACTATTTATTTATCTATTATTATTATTATTATTATTGGTTGGGTTAGAATATAACTAGTTTTTATATTAATGGCTTTTTTATATGTATTTTTCAAGTAATTTTTATAATTTTTTAAATTTTAATGAATTCCCTTTTTCTTTGATTTTTTTTATATTTTAGCCTTTCTTAAATAATAATTATTTTTTAATTATATTAGGTGTGTTTATTTTTTTAGAGTTTAGTATGATTCATCTAATTTTTTTTTGTATATTTTATATAGATTAAATATTTTTATATAATATTTTTAATATGTACAACCTTGTATAATATTTTTTTTCCTTTTATTTTCTCCAATAAATTTTATCTGTGACAATTTCTATTATAAATTGATTTTTATAAATAAATTCATTAGACATAATCAAGTAAATGACTCGTATTGTGATATTAAATATCTTTATCTATATTAATATCTTAATTTTTCCAATTATATTTTTATTTATCATTGATTAATGTTTTTGTCATTACTTACATAATGGTTACTAGTTAGTGGTTTGTTTAATTGGAAGCATACATAAGTTTTTTAATTTACTTTTTTAATTTTCTTAAGTTAAAAACTATGTTGACAAATTCAATATATTCAATTTTATTTAATAATGTATTGATGTTTTCAATTTGATTTTTATTCTTATGATTTTTCTCCTTAATTCTTTTATAAAAGTTTTATTCTTTTTAATTTAATATTTTCATTCAAATTGATAGTATATTTTTTTTTCCTCATTAATTGTTTTGTTTATATCTATGTTTTTTTGTTTATTATCATTTTTTTCAATAAAATTAAAATAAAATTTATTTATTTAATTAATGAAGACTAAAATATATTTGCACATCAAAATAGTTTACTAAAAAATAAAATAGATGGATAGCAAAATGCTGGCACCAATAATGAGCATAGCTAACATCAGTGGTTACTTTCAGTTGGTTGATTCATGAGTTGAAAAAAAAAAATTAAAAAAACACGGAGAGTGGACCCCATTGACCCAAACCCAAAGCAAATACAATTCTTTTTAATGAAAAGACTAAGCTTGTAAAGAGTGATATTTTTTTATTAGACATCCATAAGATTAAGAAGAGCATAATTTGAACTTAATGACAAGTTTTCTCTGACATAAAAAGAAAGACTAATGCAAGAGGATTTTAGGATAATTTTTTTGTTTACTTAGTATTTTTATTTCTGTTTGGTTTACGAAAACATTTTCCTCTAGGATGTTCTTATTTTTTTTCTATTTAGTTTATGAAATTAAATATTAAAATTGATAATTTTATTTTTCCAATTTCCTTTCGGAATCTTTATAATAACTATATAACCATGGATTGATATTGTTTTATTCTTAAAAATAGAATTAAAACTAGTATACATAGGGTTGTATTAACTTGTATTTTAGTAGACTCCTTTAAGAGAAAATATTTGATAATAAAATTTTAAATTAAAGTTATAATGTCATAGTCTACATGATTCTATATTGTATTTTCTTGTATTATTTTTGTCTATGTAGCTTAAATCTCTTCTAGCATTTTGTTGTTATTTTATAATAAACAATAATAAAATAATAAAAATAGTGGAGACATGTCTATCATACCTTATATTTTAAAATAAATAAAAACTTATTCTAAAAACATGACATAAATAAATTTATTTTATATTTTCATATCATTATTTCTATTACAATATATTCATGTCCTTTATGTAAAAACACAATCTAAAAAATTTAAGTATAACTTTACAAGGCATGATCTTTTCATTATTCATCCAATCATTGTTTATCATCTCATATATTACTATAAATTACAATAGTGCATTTTTTAAAAAATTTCACTTTGATTCTTATTTTTTTTTTTGCATAATTAAGCTCTTTTTCACTAAAATTAGAGTCCAATTACATTTTTTTAGGGCGAGATTGAATTGAAAGACAGAGGACTGAAGTGAAAAAAAATGTAAAAAAGGTGACAAGTCTACAATTGGTTGAAAAAGTTTATTTGTGTCCCTCATCTTTTTAAGCTATTTGTTAATCGGTTCTTATATTTTTTTTTAAATACATTTTGGTATCAAATTTTATTTTTCTCTTTTTTAGTTTTTTTTTCGGTTGGGGGGGGGAGAGAGGGTTGTCAGATTTCGGCTTAGAAAGAAACAATTAACGTTGAGGAAGATTTAGACCTTAAAAACGGTTGGTTTTTCTATTAAATGGTTCCATATGATGAGGGGGTAATAATCAACTGTTCTTTTACCTTGGTTTCAAGTTGATTTCAAGTTTTTGATCATTGTTTTTTTTTTTTTTTGCTTTTGGAAGGCTATAGATTGATTTACAAAGGTTCTTTAGATGTTTTCTAGGTTTTTAGGTAAAAAAATAATAACCTCATTTTTCAATCACACTTTTAGATTCTTGAATTTTCAAACGACGCGTCATCTGGTGGGGTAGATAATATATTGTTTATTTTTTTCATAGAAACTATGACGGATAATGTGTTTTTGCCCCCATTAAACTTAAAACAAATTAAAGGCTCACGCGCTAGACCTGGCTTACTAGGCTTAGTAAAGCTTGATCTTATTTTTTTTTTAGTTTTTTATATCAATAGTTTTTTTATATGTATTTTTCAAGTAATTTTTATAATTTTTTAAATTTTATTAATATCCCTTTTCTATGATTTTTTTTAAATACTTTAGCCTTTCTTAAATAATAATTGTTTTTAATTATATTCGGTGTGTTTAGTTTTATTAGAGGTTAGTATGATTCATCTATAATTTTTTTTATAATTTATATAGGTTAAATGTTTTTTTTATATAATATTTTTAATATGTGCAACCTTGTTTAATATATATATTTTTTACTTTTATTTTGTCCAATAAATTTTATCTATGTTAATTTCTATTACAAATTAATTTTTATAAATAAATTCATTATACATAATCAAAGTAAATGACTTGTATTGTAATATTAAATATTTTTATCCGCATTAATATTTTAATTTTTTTAATTATATTTTTATTTATCATTGATTAATTTTTTTTGTCATTTACTTACATAATGGTTACTAGTTAATGGTTTATTTAATTGGAAGCATGCACAAGTTTTTTAATTTACTTTTTTAATTTTCTTATGTTAAAAACTATGTTGAAAAATTCAATATATTCAAGTTTATTTAATAATTTATTAATTTTTTCAATTTAATTTTTATTTTTATGAATGTTTTCCTTTAATTTGTTTTTATAAAAGTTTTTGTTCTTTTTAATTTAATATTTGCATTCAAGTGGATAGTATATTGTGTTTTTTTGTCCTCATTAATTGGTTTTTTATATTTATTTTTTATTTATTATCAATTTTTTTTTAATATTATTGAAATAAAATTAATTAATTTAATTGATGAAGACTAAAATATATTTGTACATAGAAATATTTTGCTAAAAAAATAAAATAGATAGACAATATAACGCTGGCACCAATAATGAGCATAGGTAGCATCGCGTGGTTATTTTCGGTTGATTGATCCATGAGTTAAAAAAAAAAAAAAGATTAAAAAAGAAAAACACGGAGAGTGGACCCCATTGACCCAAACCCGAAGCCGATACAAGTCAATTCTTCTTGTGTCATGCCTCTTTTTTCTTTCTTTGGTAGGAGACAGACTTGGGAGGACTCGTATCTTCTTCTGTTCACCGGCCGGCACTCTTCTTCTTCTCATCGTAAAACCAGCTCCAGGCAGGGAAACGAAAGGAAAGAAAATGGAGGGTATATATCAGAAACTGAGGAACTTGGATGCGTATCCAAAAATAAATGAGGATTTCTACAGCCGTACTCTCTCCGGTGGCCTTATCACTCTCATCTCTTCTATTATCATGCTTTTCCTCTTCTTCTCTGAATTCAGTACGTAACCTTTCCTATTCTTTTCTTTCTTTTTATATCTCTTAATTGTCTCATCTTGGTCATTTTTTTATTTTTTTTATTTTTTATTTTGAAAGGCTTGTATCTCCACGCGGTTACTGAGACAAAGCTTTTAGTGGACACTACAAGGGGACAAACCCTACGCATCAATGTACGCCTTTCAACTTTTTATTTTTTATTTTTTTATTTTTTTACGGAGAAAAGATATACTTAGAGTTACTAATATTGTCATGATTATATTTATGTGCAGTTTGATATCACTTTTCCTGCCATTCGATGTTCGTTACTGAGTGTTGACGCCATTGATATCAGTGGAGAGCAGCATCATGATATTGTATGTACCCTAAAATAAATAAATAAATAAATTGAAATTGGGTTTTTGGTGGTTGTTGTTTTTAATTTAATTTAATTTCCCATTGATTATTTGGTTCTAATTGCAATTACAGAGGCATGATATAACTAAGAAAAGAATTAACGCTCATGGCGATGTAATTGAAGTCCGCCAGGATGGGATTGGTGCCCCAAAGGTCAGTAACCAAGAAGAATAATTGAATCATTTTATGCTAAAAGAAATAAAGGGATTTCTGTGCATTGCTTGTTTTTGACTTGAAATCGTGAACGAAGGTTCCGAGTCTAACTCATAAAGTTGATATACTTGTACAAAGATGAATTTTGATTTAGAACACTCTAGATTCTTGTGCCGTATTGGGCTTTTTTTTTCCTCCTTTAAATGATGGTGTTTTTTTACCCTCAAGTTTCTTTCCCTTTTCATCCATTGTTCCGACATATTTCTATCCTGCTCTTTGCTTTTACATTGACTGTCTGCCTTTTTATTTTGTTCCTTTCATGCAGATTGACAAGCCTTTACAGAGGCATGGAGGCAGGCTTGAACACAATGAGGAATATTGCGGTTCATGTTTTGGTGCTGAAATGGTATGTTAATGTACTCTACTCCTTATTTTGTAATGTCACATGGAAAATCTTTATAGCCTAGTTGTCTGTAGAAACGTATGAATGCGAAACAAAAGAGTTTCTAGATTGTTTTTTTGACAATATAGGAAACCAGTCATCTAGAGTTCATTGTTACATGATTTTGTACTCTGAAAAGGTTATTAGTGTTGTTAGGAAACATAGTTAGTAATGAAGATAGAGTAGAATAATGAGGATAATGAAAAAGGTTAAGGATTCCCTTTTTTATAAATATTGACTTTCTGATCTAAACCAGAAGGTTGGCTGTAATTTTCTTAGTTAAATTTGCAATCACTCTTGCTGATTCATGGGAGTTCATAGCAGGGTGTTTTTCAAATATTGCAATCTTTATCACCAAAGCTGTCAATCCAATCTCCATAAAGCAGTTGTTGAGAATGCACTCACTTCCCAGACCCAAAAATTTTTCAATCTAGACCTAAGGATCAAATTCAGCAAGCGATTGTCAGCACTTGCTGGTGATTGTGAAAAGAAAGTCAGGGAAATCAAGTAGAAGAAATTATAAAGGAGGAGGAGCTGACCACTGTTGCTTGGGTGGTATGCTTAGTGAAAGGTGCTGCTGATGGAATAAAAGGGAAGCAGTTGAAAGGTTTAGGCAGGGCTACTTTGCTTGCTAGCTCTGGTTGGGTTTGCCTTGTTGATCATTGGGTTAGGTTGGGATTGCATTTTACTTTATTGGTTAGCTGAATTAGGCTCTCTTTGGGTTACTAGTTGGAATTGGGCCACAATTTATGTGGTGCATTAGGTTTTTGGTCTAGTTGAGCAAGGATCTTGTGCTGATGATGGTTATGGCACATTGTTTATAGATGAACAAAGAAAACATGGAGAGCTATTTTTTTTTCTCATTTACAGATGTTAATTAAATACTGATTTTTTATTCCACTACAGAAATTAAATGGGACGATGCTTCTCTTAATTAATAAAAAGGGTTGAATTCATGTCCACGTATGGATTTAAATGGCTTGTGCCATCTTAACATTACAGGAAAAATCTGAACAAAATTTTCCTACAATCCTTGGCTGTAGGAATTCATATTGCCACATGGGGAATCAAAATCATTGCTGTATAACAAAAGTGATAAGTTAATGAGGAGCAAAGGTGTATAGCGGTAATAGATTTTTACTGACCTAATATGTAACCTAAGAAATTGCCACATTTTATGGGAAGCAGGAATTCCTACAGCCAAGGGTTTAGGAAACTTCTTTTTCTTAAAATTTTATCAAGCAACCCAAGCAAGTGCTTCTGAGCATACTCCAATATGAAGTAGCAAATAAATAAGTCTTCCCTTCCCACTTCCACAACTAGCTACATTTTGAAGGTTTGCTCTTAATTTTATTTTTCTTTAGATTATTAATCAATCTCTACTCTGCAGTCAGATGATCATTGTTGCAACTCATGCGAAGAAGTTCGTGAAGCATACAGGAGAAAAGGGTGGGCTTTGACAAATATGGATCTGATTGACCAAGTAAGTGCTCTAGATTTTACTTTAGAGAATTTTCACATGTATTATAGTCTATTTCTTAGCAAGGCTTAGAAAGAAGTTTATTATTGTGGGTGCTGATGTATCCCTTATTAGAACATCATCTCAAGGTGGTATTCTAGTTGCCTTTATGATGGGAATTTTTCCTTATGTTTTTTCTGGTGTGATACTAGATTTGTGCTCATCTAGCAGTAGAAAGGTCATCACATCATTTGAATAAAGAGTCCCAACGTCTTAAATGGGGGCTATTGTATACCTTATAGAAAAGTTGATTTCATGTGATTGTGTGAGTGGAGTCAGGTGGACAGGTCTTGTTAGCAAAACTCTTTCATAATTCCAATAATTACTGAAACAACTTTAGCTAGTACTTTTGGTTTGTGAGCTTATGCTGATTGCTAGTATGATTAAAAATTCAGATGAATAAAGGGAATGATATAACAGTGTTAGAAGTTGCGCTTACTTCTCTATCATGTCCTGAGGAAACTCTGGAACAATTTTTTTGTGCAGCTAAATCTGTAGTTAGAATTATTTTTATAATTCACTTTTATATCTGTCTTGCTAGTTTAGCCAATGGGGATTTGCTTATACATATTCCTGGATGCACTTGTATGATTGTTGCCACACAGTAGCCAAAAATTAAATTCCCATATTGATGCTTCTGCTGAGTTTTTATGTGTGGTAGCGGGTTACCATTCCTTGTTAAGCCTTGCATACTCTGCTGTTTTGTCAACTGTGATCTCATCTAGTTCAGTTGAATAAGTTGCCATGTCATGCATGGAAGCATCCACGCAGTAGGTGTGCCTCTTGATATTCCTTCCAAAATTGTTTTCTGTGGGCTCAAAACTGATTGCCTTCGGACTCCTATAGGCTTAGATGGAAGATGCTTTCATCATTTGCCTTTCATGTTAATTGAGGCAGCTTGGCTAATGGGGCCTATGTGTAGCCTTTTTTTATTTTGACAAGTCAAAATTCAATGATTAATAATTAGACAGGTGAGGAAAGCTTGTGCATTAAAATTAACAATTCCCCACATGATAAATTATGGATCAAATCCACTGCCAAGACTATTATTGCTAATGCATGGTGGACAGGAAGGAAAGCAAAGACTTGGCACTGAAGAGGAAAAACCTCAAACTAGTGAGGTACCCGTGTATGGGGTGTAGAATCACCAACAAGATCACAAAACAGAGAACCAATTCACTGGAAGAAAACTCAGTTTTATTCTGATATCAATATTCAACATTAAAGCTGAAAGCTTCATGAGGTGCTTATTTGTAGACACCCAAGCAAATAAAATAGGAAATCATAACGAAACTAAAATAACAAAATTAAAGTCTACATTTATTTCTAAAATATGTGGTCTTATATGTATTGGTGGGCCCGCACCAGCATCCCCTTTTATCTATAAGGTAGCCATGGTCTGTTCTTTTTTTGTTTTGGTGGGGGTGGGTGGGTTGATTATTACCGTGAATGGATCAATCTATTAGTTAAAAGCAATAGCCATATCCATAGCAGTGTGTTAAATGCACATGCACATTCTGTTCAAAGGTTCTAGTTTTCAATTTCTACTTATAATGATTGTCTAGCTGCTTAGGCTGAGAAATTTTTATCTTGAGTTTTATATTCTAAATGTTCATCAATACCATTTGCTTTCAGTGCATACGTGAAGGCTTTGTCCAAATGATAAAAGACGAAGAAGGTGAAGGATGTAATATTAATGGATCCCTGGAAGTAAATAGAGTTGCTGGGAATTTTCATTTTGTTCCTGGGAAAAGCTTCCATCAATCAAGTTTTCAACTACTGGATTTGCTGGATATGCAAAAGGAGAGTTATAATGTAAGACATGTCTTTGGCACCTTAAATAATTCAGTTATGATTTAAAAATTTTGTTTCAGAATTTTGTTGTTTCCTTTTTTTTTTCCTATGTTGTATGAAATTCCAATATGTTAATGTCGGTCTTGTAACTGTTCTCCTATACTTTTTTCTTTTTATGAAATCTTAATATGTTGATGTTGTTCTAAACATCTTGGAGCATTATACAGATAAGTCACAGGATCAATAGACTGGCTTTTGGCGACTACTTTCCAGGCGTGGTAAATCCCCTTGATGGGTAATCTTCTCTTTCATTTCTTGCATAGCTACATGCACTTATGTAAGTGCTCAGATTGTTCTTAAGGGCTTATTTGTCGTATTATTTGAAATGGTCTGTGTTTGAGTAATTGACAGGCACACATATATTCAAAATAGATACTTGTGATTTATCTATTGTCATTTGAGATTCTTGTGGTTTATCTTTTGTCAAGTTAAGATTCCTTTCTATTTTGGATGTTTCCTGTTTGTTTATTTCATATTCTCACCCCCACATGTTTTTTACCTTTTTATCTTAATAGTTTAATTTATTGCCATCTTCCTACCCCTCCCTCACTCCCTACCTCACTCCCACATATTTTAACCTTTTTATCTTGATAGTTCTAATTTATTGCCTTGCCAGGATACAGTTGATGCATGAAACACCAAATGGTGTGCAACAGTTTTTCATTAAGGTTTGTATTTTCAATGCCAAGGCATTATTCTGACTCTGCACCTTGATACTGAATCTTGTTCTCCAATGTTAAAACAATTAATATTTTTGATTTAGAAATCCATCCAAACTTGCGTATGCCTATGGAATTTTTGCTTAAATCCAACAAAGTAAAATTACTGCATGGGCATTTTCAGTTGTCTTCCACCTTTTGTAGTGGATTCTGTTTTTCCAAACATCATACCCATTAACTGTGAGGATTTCTAACGTATTTCTGTCTTTTGTTCATAGGCTGCTAACATATGAGAGAAATGAATTCTGACTGTTTATGGAAAGATTACTGGATACATGTATACTATATATTTAACGGTTTTGAAATTTGGATTATGTGAACAACCTGTGTGCGCCCTATGTCATGTTCTCATCATTATCTTACATATAGCTGGCAATGTTCCAATAGAATCAGTTTTAACTTTGTAGGTGGTTCCTACAATATACACTGATATTCGAGGCCGCACTGTGCATTCAAATCAGGTATTACAAAAAAATATAAAGATTATGATGATTTATTCATGTTATCATGCCCTGAAGTAGCATGGATGTGTTGTCAGTACTCTGTTACAGAGCATTTCAAGAAATCAGAATTGATACGCCTTGATTCTCTTCCTGGAGTTTACTTCATCTATGACTTTTCTCCAATCAAGGTGTGTTCCTTCTTGCATATGCAATAATCTTGTCGAGCATCCATCTAGAGTCTTTCATTATTATGTTGGTGCAGAAGCAGTTACTAATGTAAAGCTTCCATTCTGTTGACTGTTGTTATTTAAACTAATTTTCTTTGCATTTCCACTGCTTATATGTTCCATAGATTTTTACCATTTACAAAAGGGAATTTTAGAGACTCTACATTTTGGAAATTATATTGTTGGATTTTAGAAAGTTCTTTAAGAGCCCATCTGGTGAAATAAAATTAAAAAAAAATATAAGTGTTTGGAGAAAAATATTGTTGGAAAAAAAAGAGCCAGCAATCTACGTGTTTTGAATCTTTTGATTGTCACTACACAAGATGGTGCTATATGAAAACAAACAGCCACTTGGTGTTGCTAATCATTTGCCATGTATCACACTATTTTTATTTTGCAGGTGACATTTAAAGAGGAGCATACTTCATTTTTACACTTCATGACAAGTATTTGTGCAATAATTGGAGGTAGTTTCTCTGTCTTTTGCTCTCCTTAATCCCCTGCCCCTGAAAGGTTACAATGTTATTCCTGAACATGCATGCACCTGCTTTTTATCCCACATCTTGAAAGTTTGCTCTTGTTATTCGTCTTTATAGTGTTTATTATGGCGTTAATGGTAGCTTTGAAATGCATTGCAGTATTGTGATAGTGATGCTTTTCACTAGTTCTTTTTGACAACTCTGGAGTATACTGAAACTCGTATAGGTCTATTTAAATTTAGTTAAATTGTAGGAACATTCTCCATGGCAAATGCATTAGGCTTACAATTTGCACCCACACGCCTAAGTAGTTATACAGTGGTCTTAGCCTTTGGAGGTGGTAATCCCACTAAAAATAAATAACAAGCCAAAAAATTACTGCGGTTTAGCAATTGTCAACACAAACTGTCAGTAATCAAAATAAATAACAATCACTCATAGATTTTCTCAAGACAATCTCTCAACCATTTCTCTCACTAATTAGCCCAAAGTTCAATCACACCCAAGAAAGTTCTTACAACAAAAACTACTTCAATCTGTGAAACAAATGTCTCCATCAAGGGAAATAAAACCTTCCAAGAACACCTCTCAAATACACCTTAAAAGGAAATCCCACACCTTGTGATAATGAATGCTATTTTAGTCAAAGGATTGCTGTTTGAAACGAAGTTATATCTCCATAGGATTAGGAATCTGATGCAAAATTCCAACAGAGGACTGGAAAATTAGGAGAGTTGGAATAGCTGCTAAATATGAAATAGAATTATGAAAGTAAGTAGAGAACCTGACTTGGATAATTACATAAAACTGAAAAAAATATGAATCTTAGATGTCCTTCATTGTCTAATAATTAGCCACGGTATGAAATGGAGAAATGACTTTTGAAGTTGCTGCTTTTGCTTCACTAGCCTTACTAGAGAATTAATGCCAAAGTATCCTTTAGCACCAGAGAAACGCTTAAAGAACTTTACTTTGGCTAAGTTGTATTTGTATAAAGGATGGAAGAGAGTAGTTAGACTGCTGCCAGAGAAGGCTGTTTCTAGCTGGTGGACCATGAGATTTCCATGCTTCTGGGTTTCTCTTTAGGGCTTTGATCCAACTTGATAACTCTTGGTTAGTTAAGATTAGGAACATCATGTTTAGTGCCTTAAATTAGGAAACATCATTTTGTTGTATCGTAGTGAAAATAACAGGAAATCACTATTTATTATACATAAAATCTCAAGTTCTTGTGCATTTGTGAGCATGATTTATCCACTTAACTAGGTCTCATTTCTAAATAGTGTGGTTGACTGGATATTTTTTGTTCACTCTGTTATCTTTAGCTCTGTTTGTTCTCCTTTCCGATCTTCAAGCCAATAGTTTTTTGTTTACATTAGTATTCTCATCTCTGCTATGTGATGCATTTAGCTCAATTTGCAAATTGAACCAACACTGGTAGCTTGACATGTAGCACTTCTGTGGTTTCTTTTACAATTCCAACACTCAAAATATTACAAGTTAGGAATTTTAGAACTCTCATCACAGCTATTTTCTGTATCACAGATTTAGTTTCTGGTTTGGAAATATTTTAGAGAAGATGAAATTAAATATGGTTTTCCCCATTGTTAATCTATTTCACATAGCTCTGCCCTAGCACCACATTCAAGAGCTATCACAGTTGTAATTCAAGATTTGGATCAACAAGATGCAAAAACTAATGTGGAAGAAGCTCTCAAGTCACAAAATTGCAAGCATCTCCAAAAGGAAAATTCTGCAAATCTATAGAAAATTTACTTGCAAAATACTAGGAAAATCATGGATATAGTTGGGTCAGGTTTGCATCCATAATTGTATCTAACTCAACTTTTATATTTTATAAATTGTAACCTGACCCATTTAGTTTTTTTAGGACATGATATTGGGTTGGGGTAAATTTTTTATGGATATTACAGATATCCACAATTTGAATTTATATTATTAATTTTCATGGATCCGTTTCTATAGATGGATGTACAACATGGACTGTAGGTGCCATGACACCCTATAGGTTTAATTTTTATACTTTGCACCACCGTTAAATTTTAGCTGCCACATCTTATCCTCTAGCAAAGAGATAAGCTATTTTTTGTTAAGTTCAAGAAATCTAATAGAAAGTCTACTAACAAGAACTTTGGAGCTGAAATATTTCTAAATAAAATAAAAATAAATGCTCAACCCACAAACTATCAAATATAAAGACAAGAAGTATAGGGTATATAGGTTGAGTTGATCAGGTTTTAAAAATACTGACCCTCACCCGGCCTGTGATATCCATGTTTTAAGTTTTTTAACTCAAATCATTTATAATATCCACATTATCCGACTTTAACGCGGGTTAGGTAATGCAAATTTTACAGATGGGCTGCTTTTTTTGAACACCCCTGGGTGGGAAAAACCATTGTTAGTTTCTCGAGAAATAATAAAAATAAGATGTGTAGTTTTTGCAAGGATGTCAATCAAAACAACCTCAACAAATACTCCTCAACACACTAAAATACAAAATACCAATTCAACTAAGCCTGTTGTAGGTTGTTGCACGAGTCGAAGTAGAATATCTACATCAGAAGCTGTGCCCTGAGCCTTAAATACTACAAGCTTGGCAATACTGGTTTGTCCTGCAATATGGTAGGAGTGAAGTTTGACATTGAAAACCAGCAATCCCTAGCAGTACACTCTCTTTTGCTTTTTTGTATAATATATATAGTTGAGACTTTTATAAGAATGATATTACGATGTCACCACATCTTCTCATATTCCTGTGTAAGTTCCCTTTTCTTTCTCTCTTTTTTGAATGATTAATATAGTGTTATCTTTATAGGCATCTTCACTATCGCGGGGATAGTAGATTCCTTTATTTATCATGGTCGAAGAGCAATCAAGAAGAAAATGGAAATTGGCAAATTCGGCTAATGTTTTCAGTGGCTTCCTGTGACATTTTCAGGTATTTCCATTGTTTTTAGATCTGTAATTTATCTGCCAATATGATTATTCACTCGCTGAGTCGAGGGTAAATTCCCTTTTCCACGAACCTGGTGTTTTAGGCTGTAAATGTCACACAAACATGCATGCTGCACCCAGAAGGATATGCTGAAGTCAAAGAACAAAGCTTTCAGCTCCAGCTTAACTGATTGATACTTGTTACACTTCTCTGCTTGGCTGTTTGATAGCTAGTGCTTGCTAGGACCTGGACAATGGAAGGCTGAGACTCTTTTTGTAGAATATCAAAATCAACTCTTTTGTTTTTTTATATATGATTTATGAAATGTTTCCGGTTAGTTGCATTTTGACTCCATTTTGGACTATCCATTAAGATTTAATTAGAAGTTGAATGGAGTTCCTTCCTCTGTCATAGACTACACCAAATATTAAGAATATAGTAACGGAGTTGTATCGTGCCAGAGTTCATTCAATATATTTCTCGAAGGTCTCTTCTGAAAAAAGACAAGAAAAAACCCCATTTTATACGAGTTTAATTATTAACAAGACCGCCAAAATACCGAAGTCTGTTCTAGATTAAAATATAAATAATATTAATTTAGGAACTGTTCTGGAAGTTGGATCAAAATCTATGACTATTATTATAATTAGCTATCATATTTCCAAACACAACATTAATATAACATTAATATATTATTCCAAAGTTTCTTCTGGGAAAAAAAAAACAAAAAACATTATTATATACGAGTTTGAATAACAAGGACCGCCTAAAAACTGGATTAGAATTAAAATATTATTATACAAGTTTAATTATTAATAAGGGCGGTTTAAAAACTGGACTAGAAAGCTGGATCCAAATTGATGACTATTATTGTAAATGGCTAAATTAAAGTTTGGATGAAACATAAAAGACTAGTCTGATTTGGTTTAGGGTTTTGAGTTGTTAAACTGTGGGTTGTTGGGTCATCTTTTTTACACGGTTAGGTTTAGTTTGGTTAATTGAGTCATCATCCTGTCGGGTCGAGTTATCATCCTGTCGGGTCACTCAAGTTTGGCTTAGTCAATGTAAAAAACAGCTCAAAACAAAACTCAAGGTTAGGCTCCGAGTTTCTGAGTCACTGGTTTAACTCGTCTGTGGGATAGAAAAGACTAACAGGCAAACAAAATTCAAACCGCGGTGTTCACAATGAGATTGTGTTGCTGAGATGTGTCATTCCATCGAGGTTCCCTGTTCTTAAGGGGCAACAATGGCTAGGGGATCCTTGAGAGATGAAATTGGGCAGCCATTGTGAGGGAAACAGACTAGGCTTGCTTCCAGCCTGTTGAATCATAGGGATAAAAGATGATAAAAAATATACTTGCAACCAATGATCGACGAGGACAGTCCCTGACAAGGTTGCAAGCGAAAGACGAGAGTAGATTTTGGAAAATCATGTGCTGTAAGTAATTTATGATGTTTTTAATAGTATTATTGATTTTTTTAAAGTATTTTTTATTTAAAAATATATTAAAATAATATTTTATTTAGTTTTTAAAAATTAATTTTAATATCATCATATCGAAATAATTTAAAAATATAAAAAAAAATTAATTTTAAACAAAGAAAAAAAGAATTTTCTTATTTTTTTAAAAATATTTTTAAAATATAAAAAGAAACAAGGTCTTAGTTGGGAATCAACTAAAGAGAATCCAAATATTAAAAGGTAAAAAAAAGTCAAGAGAATAATGGAATAAAAATATATTATGCTTTTGAAAGAATATAATTATGATGAATCAGAAATCAAGGCTACTCACTTAAAAAATCCAAGTTTCCAAAGAAAAAAGCTACTAGAATTCTAAAAGCTCTATGAATCATATTCTTAAACTTCCATCTAAGTTTATTTACAACATGGTATGATGCTTGTAAAATTATAGAGTTTGGTTTACAACATGGTGTGATGCTTGTAAAATTATAGAGTTTGGTGATTGATGAGAAATAGACGAATGTGGGGCTTCTCAAGAGGATAGAGATGAAGCTAGAGATATGGAATGTAATGCATACATTCCTTTCTTATCGCATTTATAATTCTATTTTTTTTTTGTTGTATATCTTTATTTGGAAACTAGGATTTATTTATTTTTACAAGGGTTATCTTGATTTGGTTATAATTATATTATTTGGAAAGCATAATAAACTCCTATCTCATCTCATGATTTTATTATTATTAGTTCATCTTCTAAATTAAAATCATAACTACTCATATTAAGCTTTTTTTTTTTTTTTAATCATTCATATTAAAACTGAAATAAAATTTGCTTTTCTGATCATCCACATCAAAATTAATAGATAATATGATATATTAGTTAATAGGATTAAATTGTAACTTATATCATGTTACTATTTATAACTTGATCACCATCAAATAATATTTGTAATTAAATTAATTAAGATATTGATTTAGTAAAACTCAAATGATCTAGTTAACATCTAGTTGAGTCAAAGTTTCACACTAAAAATATTTTCTATTTTATAAATTAAAAAGATCTTTCCAACTCATTAATACCAATATATGTGATATAATTTAATTTTAATATTATATATAATATTTAAGTTATTAAAAAAAAATGTTCAATCTTTCACATACGGGTGGAAATAATATAATAGCTATTTTACTATTTTAATAAAAAATTATTGAACTGCTATTAAAAATAATATATTTTTTTTAAAATGTCAATTACTCATTATTAAAATGATTAATGACATATCAATCTTTTAAGAACAATAAAATAACTAAATTATCTTTAAAGGAAATTTTTATAAATTAGTACTTGAGAGCCTTTTTAATTTTTTTTAAATATAGTAAAATAACTAAATTATCATTAATAATAAAAATTTTTGCATTGTTATTCTGAGATTTTTTTTATTTTTATCCTTGTTTTTTTAGTTATAATCAAGTTGATTAAGAGACATTTTTGTATTTTAATAAATATAAAATATTATTTAAAAACCAAAAGTGGTTGCGTGTGCGTGTTGAGTGTAACATCTTACCATTTCATTTCTTATTATTTTATTTTATTTTATTTTATTTTTATATTAAATTTGGTTATCTTTCTTTTGATTGCTATTTATTTTTGTTTCTTTATCATTTTCTTTATTGATTTTTTTTTTAAATTTTATCTCTTGATACTTGAATGATTAAGGATTTTACATGTCATTTTAAAAATTAAATGTGTCATATCAATTTGTATTTGTATCAAATTCGGTGTTTATTATTTTGATTTTTTTTTAATTTTATCTCTTGATATTTGAATGATTGAGGATTTTGCTTCATGATTTTTTAATATTTGTCTTCTATAGAGTAATCTCGCTCTCATGACCTAGTCATAAGTTTTGAAAATTAACTCGATTTGACTTTGATTTTTTTTTTCAAATTGTATTTTTTAAAAAAAAATTTATCCTTCAAAATTAGGTTATTAAACCTTAAGCTTCATGAATTTTTCTATTTTTTTTCTATCAAGGAGTTATTACGATCTCATAACTTAAGTTGGCTCGAGTTTTTTTAATTGATTTTGTTTTTAGTTTTACATTTCATCATTTAGTTTGTTCGAGAGTTGACCAATATTTTTTTATTTAATTTATTTTGTATGTAGTTGTCTTGGTCTCATGATTAGGCAACAAATTTAGCATATTGACTGAAATTGAGTATTTTTTTTTTAACATTGATTCTTTTTTAATTTGTCCTTTAGCATTTGATTTGTTAGAAATTTAGTTTTAAATTTTTGTTTTGCTCTTTGAGAGTTTATTGAGTTCTCATTTATCTTTTGTTTTGTTATTAGAGATTGTTGAGACATTTTAAGAATATTTCAATAGTATTTTTAATGATATTAACAAGCATTTAATTTTTTGATTTGTTATTTTTATTTTGTTTTGTTTTTTTAGTGTTGTTGGTTTTTTTTTATAATCATATTATTTAATTAATTGAACTTATTAAACTTAGTTAATCAATAGCATTAATCTATTATTTTTTTGTTTTTCTTAAAAACACTATCATCATTTAGGCATTTTTTAGTATAACGCAAAACGCCCAACTAACATATCATTATAATTTATCAATTGGGTTCATGCATTGATGACTCATGGTCCGATGATCCAAGACTTTATAGGCGAGACAACTCGTTGGTAATTATTATTCTTCCTCTACCCACGCAGTCTTGCTTACACCTCCAACATGCAATGCAAGGGAGGCTCCATTCCCCTAGAGTGATTAAAAAAAGCTTTATCACTTCCTCTCAATTATTAATGGAACTATGATAAAGTATGAAAACCCTTATTTAAAAAAAAAAAAAACTCTAAGGGTGGTTGAATATTCATGCATGATGTGTCATGTTGGATGACAATCGTACTCAAGTTCAATTTTACTAATTAATTCATTGTGAATAGTAGATATCAAGTTAATTAGTAATTTATTTGAAATGAATTGAATTGAATTTATAAATAAATTTAAATTCAATTAATAATTTTTATTTTTAAAATAAAATACTAAAATATATAATTGAATTCAATTGTTTTGTTTAAAATACACATGGAAATAATTTAAATTAGATTATTTTACTTTTAATTTAAAAATTAATTTTTTTTGTTACAAGGATCTTTGTATTTATTTAAAATGACATAAAATATAAGTATTTTAAAGAGATTTAAATAGACCTAAATCATATTAATTGTTTAGTAAATAATTATTGATTTTTTTTAAAAATATATATATTTGTTAATAAAACTTTTCAATCAAAATCTTTTCATTGAAATGTTGAGAAAAAAATTCTAGAAATATTGCAATAAACTTTTTTGAGTGTTTTTCAAATAAAATAAATATTTGACCTATATAAGCCATATTATTAAATAGACAAATCAATAATTAATATAATTTTAACAATATTAATAACTCAGAAAATAAAGTAATGCGGTAAAAATAGTTTAATTTAACATCATCGTATTTAAGTTGGGAGACCAGAAAATATTAGCTATTCTGCACCCGATAAAGTTCATATCTGGCCGGCCTCCTTCTGCCTATTCATTTCCAAAAGCGCCCAAATACCAGCTTTCAACGGATAAACATAATATTCATGCTCCCAAAAATTCGCTTAGTTGAAAAGGAGTTTTAGATGCATTACTAGATTGTGTCCACGATTACAATACAATAAAATAAAATAAAATAAAAAATAAAAAATAAAATATGAAGGGAAAAAAAATATTAAAGAAATCTGAGCTGTTGGTTTAATTAACAATTTAAATAACATAATTTAAAAATACAATAATAATAAATAAATACATAAAATAACAAAGAAAACAAATGTAAAAAAAATCCCTGATTTGAGCCCACCCGAATTATAAAACAATTCAATAATGAAGAATAAAATTAAAAATATTAAAAAAAAACAGCAAAAAAAAAACGTAGTTAAACCACGTTAACTTGTAAATTCT